TTCCTAGTCCTATCTGACTTTACTGGTATTGCTTTTTAAATGAAACAAGAACAATTTAAGAGCTGATGATGGTGGGCTATATCGGGAAATCTGTTAGTGTTATGGTGTCTAAGTGTCTGACTAGCAGGGCCTAGGAGCAACTACATCAGAAAGGTACTTTTTTACTTTTTTCCTTGCAGAATTCTAGGCAGAGTCTGGCGCTGGAGTTGGCTGTCATGTCCAAGTCTGTCAGCTTTTTTTTGTTTGAAACAGCAAGGGTAAGATGAACTGCAGGGTAAGATGGGCTGTTTTTGAATACGATAGTCCAGTTATGATACCACTTCTTTTTTCCTTTTATTTTGTTCCCCCTCCCTCTTCTTCTGTTCTTTTTTTGGCATTGACTTTGGAAGTTTGGCATAATCTTTCATTTATATGAAGATGTGTTACCTTGCTGGACCAGTTCCTTAAACAATTAAATATAAATACTAAAATTTAACAGAAATGAAATAGTCCATCTTGCCTTCATTCCATTTTACCCAGGAGATTTAAAATCAAACATATTAAGCAATTAACAAAAAAGGATCATTTTGGTATAATAGTATACTGGATATGGTGAAACTGTTTTTTTGAAAGCAAGTTTCCAGCTACTTCTTAAAGATCTTATGTAAAATTCTTGCAGTGAAGCTTGAAATTGTTTATTCAACATTATCAGAAATTTCATTCAATTCAGTTAAAACGTTACAGAAAAAAATCCATGCATGCTCATTTATGATAAATATTTGCGGTTGTAAACTCCATTGAATTTTATTTTTTCCTGTTTTTAGTAATTAGGCACAAGAGGAGTTTATGTGCTTCAGATTGTCTCATTAGACTCTAAATTAGAGTTAATAATTATGCAAATTATTATACAGTAGCTGTCTCTCCCCTCCGTTCTTTAGTGCCATGAGCAGGCAACTCCAGCAATGCATTATAATCTATCTTTATCTAGTTTATGCTTAGCAGTCTAATTTTTTCATTGCTGCTCTATCAAATTAAGTGTTTGGCATAGCCACCCATGTTTATCTGTAATTGTGGGGCTACCTGTAGAGATGGGAGATGGTTTTTTTTATATAAGCAGTTAATGGGCAAACCTTTACAGCAATGTTAATGGCAAAAGTCCAAAGCATATTTATAAAAGATTTTGGAATTCATATTTCAGATACTAAATAGTTTTGTTCTGTACCTGGTCCTCTCATCAGTAGCTTTTACTTACTTAAGTGACTTTTTACGAAGTACTTAATATTTGTATAGTGTCTTGATGATGAAGAACTATACAAATGCTTCAATATTAAGAGGCTCAATCCAGACAAGATTTTTCATAGAATCATAGAATCATGGAATCATAGAATAGTTACAGTTGGAAAGGACCTTAAGATTACCTAGTTCCCACCCTGCTGCCATGGGCAGGGCCACCTTGCACTAAACCATGTCACCAAAGACTCCAGCCAGCCTGGCCTTGACCATTGCCAGAGAGGGAGCATTCACAATTTTTCTGGAAAGCCAGTTCAAGTAACTGCTTTTTTCATGTTGATATGTATATTCTTATAAATTTTAAGAGGCACTGATCATTGAATCTCCCATTTCTATGTTTTGATTCCCACAGCCCTAAAAAGGTCTGTGTTTATAAGTGTAATCAATCCTTATTTTTCATTTCAGTTGTGTGTGTTTGTACAAGCAGTATATGTAAGCCTGTAGGCTAAAGATTTTTTTGCACCGTGATTCCACCTCCCCACTGTGGCAAAAAGTGCTGAACACTTATTATTGTCTGTGCATTGGTTTCACTTTTCTCCCCTGGTTTTCATTAGGTTCAGAGCTCATGCCCAAAGCCCTCTCCACCAGGATAGTGGGAGGCATTTGGTGGTTTTTCACACTTATCATCATTTCTTCGTATACTGCTAACCTAGCCGCCTTTCTGACAGTCGAACGTATGGAATCCCCTATTGATTCTGCTGATGATTTGGCCAAGCAGACAAAGATAGAGTATGGGACAGTTGAAGATGGAGCAACCATGACTTTCTTCAAGGTAAGCTTTATATTCTTTTTTGAAAAGATGCTGTGTCCAATTGCAGAGGGGTGACTTGTACACATTGCTAAGAAGCAAGAGATACGGTTCTTGCTGACATCAAAAGCAGCTGAAAATCACTTTTTGAGGATTTTTTTTGTTAAGCAAACAGACTACATTAAGAATTTTAGCTACTGGGCTGAGAAAAACGTTTAGGGCTTCGTATTTTTGAGAATCTTTTGAATGAAATTTGGGGTTCACATAAAAAAGCTCAGATTCTGCCAGCTTGTCTAGTCCTTTTAATATGATACTAAAATAATACCATTTTTAATATACTGAAATATGCTGCTGAATTAGAGAGGAATCTTCTCTAACTTCATCAGTCATTTAAGTGGCGATAAATTAGATGTATTAGAGAGAGAATGGTTTGTTCTCAAACTCATGTCTGATAGCACAGAGGTGTCTCAAATCTTCCAAACAAGGAGGTGTTTACCAATATTTGTCTGATCTTTGGTACATTTTGAAGACTTCTAGCTAGTGTATTCTGGGTTTTTTTTTTTTGAGCTATTATGCGGTCACCTAAAGCTTTACTGTGTCCCTTACACTGGCATTTGAAATTAGACAAGTTGAGATCCAAGGTAACTTGTAAACTGGTGCATAAATTGAAGAATGTGTTATCAGTTCCTCTCATCAAATTCAGACAGTATAAAATCTGTTTAGCTATCAAGGCTAAATAGTCACTATTTAATCTTACTGCCTTACAGCTAATTGAAGTGTATACATAGTTTCCATTTTTTATAAAAGTTATATGGATTCAGCTTCTGCTTGGAAATAAAAATCATAGGATCATAGAATCATAGAATAGTTAGGGTTGGAAAGGACTTTAAGATTATCTAGTTCCAACCCCACTGCCATGGGCAGGGACACTTCACACTAAAACATGTCATCCAAATCAATTCAACTTCTGTGTATTGGATTGTTTTAGGCTGCTTAACATATAGCATACTGCTGCAAAGGTATAGCATTGGGAAGGTTCTGAGTATTTTCTCCAGAATACATGTTGGAAAAGGATGAACTTAATAGAAGTAACTAATCTGTTAGAGGTCTCTTGATGTCAGGAAATATGTGAGGCAGTTAAAAGAAACAACATAGAAATTTTGAAGACAGAGGTTTTTAAAAGAGCTTAAATTATTTATTTATTATTTTAAGGCCACAAGGAGATGACACATTTATTGAGTTACCAGAAAACAATCCAAAACTTCAGTTTCATTTTTGTTTGTTAAAAACCATTGAACTTTTTCTATTTTTTACGTCAACTGTGGATTCTGAAATATCAGGAAGCAACTTTAAATTAGTAGATTGTTTCTGTCTTGTTGCCAGAACCACTTTTCTCTGTATCTTCTTAATATCTATTTTTCCTTCTCCCCACCCTTAGTTTTCTCTCTTATTTATTCTTTTTCCTTTTTTTTATATGTGCATAATCTGTGGGGGTTTTAAGCACACAGAATATTTCTCCTTCTCTGGATGTTTTCCTCTTTGCATATGGATATACTGAATCATAGAATCATAGAATAGTTAGGGTTGGAAAGGACCTCTAGATCATCTATTTCCAACACCCCTGCCATGGGCAGGGACACCTCACACTAAAATGTGCCATCCAAGGCTCTGTCCAACCTGGCCTTGAACACTGCCAGGGATGGAGTACTCACAACTTCCTTGGGCAACCCATTCCAGTGCCTTACCACCCTCACAGTAATGAATTTCTTCCCTATATCCAATCTAAACATCCCCTGTTTAAGTGTTAACGCATTACCCCTTGTCCTACCACTAGAGTCACTAATGAATAGTCCATCCCCAGCGCCCCTATAGGCTCCCTTCAGATACTGTAAGGCTGCTATGAGGTCTCTTTGCAGCCTTCTCTTCTCCAGGCTGAACAGCCCCAACTTTCTCAGCCTATCTTCATACGGGAGGAGCTCCAGTCCCTGATCATCCTCATGGCCCTTCTCTGGACTTGTTCCAATGAGTTCCATGTTTTTTTTATGTTGAGGACACCAGAACTGCACACAATCCTCCAGGTGAGGTCTCACGAGAGCAGAGTAGAGTGGAAAGATCACCTCCTTCAACCTGCTGGTCACGCTCCTTTTGAATCAGCCCAGGATACAGTTGGCTTTCTGGGTCACGAGTGCACACTGCCAGTTCATGTTCATTTTTTCATTGACCAGAACCCCCAACTCCTTCTCCGCAGGGCTGCTCTGAATCTCTTTTCTGCCTAACCTGTAGCTGTGCCTGGGATTGCTCTGACCCAGCTGTAGGACCTTGCACTTGTTATGGTTAAACTTCATGAGGCTGGCATCAGCCCAACTTACAAGCGTGTCAAGGATGGCATCCTTTCCCTCCAGCGTATCAACCAAACCCCAAAGCTTGGTGTCATCAGCAAACTTGCTGAGGGCGCACTCAATCCCACTGTCCATGTCAGCAACAAAAATGTTGAACAAGACTGGTCCCAACACTGGTCCCTAAGGGACACCGCTCGTTACTGGTCTCCAGCTGGACATTGAGCCATTGACTACAACTCTTTGTGTGCGGCCATCCAGCCAGTTCTTTATGCGCTGAGTGGTCCATCTGTCAAATTGATGTCTCTCCAATTTAGAGACACATGTGGGACAGTGTCGAACGCTTTGCACAAGTCCAGGTAGATGACATCAGCTGCTCTACCCCTTTCCACCAGTTCCGTAGCTCCATCATAGAAGGCCACCAAACTGGTCAGGCAGGATTTCCCCTTAGTGAAGCCATGCTGGCTGTCACCAAGCACCTTGGCATTTTTTGTGTGGACCAGGAGAATCTGCTCCAAGATTTTGCCAGACACAGAGGTGAGACTGACTGGTCTGTAATTCCCTGGGTCATCCATTTTCCCTTTCTTGAAAATGGGGGTTATATTTCCCTTTTTTCATTCCTGTTGGGAACTTCACCCGACTGCCAT